TATAATACATTATAAAGCTATTCGCGGCAATGTTAAATTCTACTATAAACTGTCATTAAACGTTGATATATTGACATATCTGTGTGCGCGTGTGTGTATAATGTAAATTTTATAATATTTACCGTTAGTCAATCAAGCAGCTATACACGAACACACAGTTTTTTAAAAACATTTTCAAATTAATATAAATGAATATCTAGTTCATATCATGATACACGTTTACAGTTGTTTGATTGAAATTTAAAATAACTGATAAACCTGGTAGTATACTTGTGTTTTAGGTATTCATAATATAGTTTTTAATTTTTTTTACCGAATTGAACTATAAAAAGTGAAAATGAATTCTAGGCAACTGTGTATGATCGCAATTTTTTACAATATACTTGTTGATAATCAGAATATGATGGATACTTTTAACCGTATAATTACGTGCAAATATAATATTATATTTACAATTATACTACGAGTAATAAAAATTGTACAACAATAATAACAAATCACACAAAAACGTTGTTGATCAACGACCAACGTATATACGAGTACGTATTCATTATAGAATTTTTGCCATATGGCTATAAATGTATACGAATATATATGTGTGTTTGTATAAAGCGCAGTAAAAAATATAAAAAAAAACAATATTTATTATCCAAATGTTGTTATTATTATAGTGATGAGTGAATTTATACTTATATACGATATATACATAAAAATAACGTGGCGGTCGATTGTCAGTGGTTTATTAGGACGATCGTTGTCCAACTTGGCCCACCTGCATTCCATAGACACACACACGCACACACACACATACAGACTCTTGTACACATTCACATGCTCACATATAACGTAAGCGAACACAAATCCATCGTCCGCCGCCGACCACCTGCAACAATACCCTTCTCTGCGTTCCCAATCGCCCCGAGTCGCCCACTACTACTACTATAAGTAACCCCTATATGATTATCTCTACGCGTTCTATCCCCACCGTGTCACAATAATTACGTAAAGATCCGTTACGATGACGACGAGAAGATAATATGTTGCCGGTCTAGACTGCAGGTCCCTTATTGCGTGTATATGTAGTTAGGTTATAGGTACCTGTCCGAAAAATCGTCTAATGGAATGTAGAATACATTATATGATATCCAAGGCCAACAAACAGAAACGTGATATTCGCAAGCTGAAAATCATTGGCGTTCTGCTTATCCGAGGTCGACATTTTTGTTAAAATTAAAATTTTCCTGCTCCTGGGAGTATACGTTTACTAGAAATTTCCTTTTTTCTATGAATATTTATTATTCGTAAAAAAAATCATAATAATTATAGAGTGGTGGACAAGTGTAATGTACGATCACAAAATAAAAGACAATAGTAATCGTCGAAGGGTACAGGATTTAGAACACCATGTCCACAAAAATACCGTGGATAGAACATCAAACTTGATCTCGATCACCACGTACCACTTATTTTTTTTTCTAATTATAAATAAAGGAAACAAAAACGTTCTCGTCAAAATACACGCATCTGTTAAAGCGAAGCACTTATGCGAAAAAATACAATAAGGGTTAAAGCTAATTATACGGGTTGTTAAAAAAAATTAAATCATGTACTACAATATTCAAGGGAAAAAATAAGCAGGAAGTTGTGTACGAATATTTCCATGAAATTATATTGGGATCATTTTTTAATTTTTTTTTTTCAAAGAATAATGTCTATAAAATATTGTTTCATATTTTTTAGTATAAATTTTAAAATTAACTGATGTTTAAACATACATTAATGTGTATTCATATGCAAAATGAGTTATAAGCGTGTGTACCCTTAAGTAAGTATACACTATAGTTTATGTTTCGTTTTGTATTATTTGAACAGCTTCGAAGTAAACTCACAACTGTCATAACAAATATTTTTAACTGAAATATGAAGCAGTCTGAATACTTTTATTTTTATTGTTATTAAATATACATTATTGGAAAATACAATGCTTTTAATCAATCTAAAAGTTCGCATTGTTAAATAAGAAAAATCATTTTAAAATCGATGAATATTAACATCACTTTAGATAATTATAAAAAATGGTTTGAACTATAAAATAATATTTTTCAATTTCCCATGGTTAGTAATTTTTCACAGATAAATTTCTAAATTCTAAATTATTGACGTGGATCAAAAAGGGCCTTTTCGGTACAACTATAAGCTACTGTTTAAAGTAATGTACCTACATAATACTAATTGTGTGTATTAAAAGCGTGGCAATAATGATTTTTAGGACAGGCAAAGAAAATAATATCCAAAATATGTCTAATGGAATGGTACAATTGAGTTAATTTTTTTTTCTTTGTGCACGTTCTCTCTTTTTACAAATCCCGTAGTGCCACTATCAACAGCGCAGAGCGTAAAATAAAAAAACATGAAATGTGCTAGGGGAAAAAACTTGCGGTCGGGTATTCCTCCCCATTTCGTGTTTGTCCTCAGTTCTTAAAAAAAACTCGTAGGAGAGAATGAAAAAAAATCAATCAAAGTGTTATTTCTCCCCTCGTTTTGCGGTTTCGTCTCATTTAATTCGAGATCATTGCATAACCGTAATAAAAAAAAAAAAAATAAATAAATTATATGCGTATACCATCAAATGAACCTGAACGTTCGTTGTTAATAGCTAGATTGATCATGGTAATCCGAATGATAACATCAAGTCGTGGGAGACCAAGTGGTAAATAATATAATGTTTTTTTTTCGCACTTAGAAGTATTGTTTAAATCATAGTTCAGTTTACAGTAATACGAATATATTTCCAAATGAACAAAATACATTAATACACGAACACAAAGTTTACTGACGCAAAAACAGTTTCCAGTTACATTCATGTTTCTTTCGAGGATTTTATACATATTTCAGTACTACAGTTTTACGCACAGAACTATGACTAATTCGATTTATGCGTGAAGCAATTTTTTTCCTCAAAAAATTACTGCATAAAAACAACTATCATATACGAAATTGACACAGATTTTGTTTTTGACATAGCATTAGCGACTGTTATGGATAAGAATGGAATAGTACTAGTAGTAGGAATTATAGTATTTGAAAAAGTTAGAATCTTTAATAGTACTTATTGATGTTGAGTACAGGTAAATATGAGACACATTCAGTGGATTGAATATTAAAGGGGTGTAAATTCCGTTTGAAATAAATAATGGATATATTATTACTCGTATAATCGCGAGCCGGCAACCTTTTTTAGTTCGATAATACTTTAAGAAATTCAATACATCACATTATCATTTGGGGCAAATAAATCCATACCCACTGTGTACAACAAATTTATCCCAAATGATAATGTGATGTATTGAATTTCTAAAAATATTATCGAACTAAAAAAGGTTGCCGACTCGCGTTTATACGAGTAATAATATATCCATTATTTATTTCAAACGGAATTTACATGTCGATCAATATTTATGAGTATTATATTATTTGCACTCAATCGGCTACTTTGATTTTCTTAAGAATAATACGCATATTATTAATTATTATTTCAATACAATTCGTAAATAGATAAATACATTTGAAAAAAATATCAAAGTGTTTTTGAGATAATTGTGGTTATAAACTAAATAAGTTTCAAATAGTTATTCATTTATTATAGAGATGGCTATCGTAATGTTGAAGAAAATTTTTATTTTCTCAATATTTCATTAGCTTTTACACTAGTCGATACCAAGAGCATCAAACGATTGATATATATTTTCGTATAGTAATAAAAGTAATAAAATTTGACGGCAGAATAAATTCCAAACCTTTTCTTCCATAAACATTGTAGGTTAATTATGATTATGAAATAAATTAGATGTTGTGATTGCAATGTAGTCATAAATTTTGTTAAGAAGTTTTTTTTTTAACTAATTAGAATTAATTAGAATACTTGACTCTATATTTATACCAATATTTATGTTCTTATTACTTTCTTATCAGTTTCTTTAAATTATAATATAGATCGTATGGTTAGTTAAATCGCATTTAAGCAAAGTGACGACTAAACCATATATTTATTCCAATGGAGTATCCAGTTTTTTTGAGAAGGGAAGATTTGACAAATATTACAATAACATACTCAATAGTTAAAAATCAAGTCACCTACCGTTGATCAATGACCATATTCTATTTATATAAATGTATAAAGTAATAACATATACGTGAATTATGATGAGAGTTAAGTCAATATTGATTTTCCAACTTAAAAGGTAAATAGTATTATTTTTAAATTCTTAAATATTTCGAGGACAGAACTTCGAAGACTCTTAGTTACTCCTATCCATCTGAACTAGACCACGAATATCAGTATCTAATTATAAAATAACAAATAACATTTAACTATTTTTATCCAATCTTTTAACTTTTTTAGTAGAAAGATAAATAATTAATTAAATGCTATGCAAAAATGTTATTATGCAAATCTATATTTATAAAGTTTAGAATACTTATGTGAAATTCGAGGTTTGATGAAAAGGCAATAGCATTAATGCAAAGATCATACTTGATTGGAGTAGTAAAATTACACTTATCAAGTTAAATAATGAATTGGTTTTCTGAAGATATAATAACGATAGTACTTTTTTGTTTATTAAAATACTGGACGAGTGATGATACAAAAAAAATGTAAACTTAACAGGAGAACACGAGATATAGATAGGTACGTTTTTATTTTATTTCCACCGATAAATACCCATTGTAATCTCAGTAAAACGATACTATAAAGCAGTGGTGGCCAAACTACGGCCCGCGGGCCAACTCCGGCCCGCCATCATTTAATATCTGGCCCGCGAAAGTCTTCTATATTACAGCACTTATTTGTATAACTGTAATATTTTGCATTTACGTAAAAAAAAATTTAGAATGCATTTTTTTATGGCCCGCGATAAAAAAAAGTTGTTTTTTATGGCCCGAGGAAAAAAAAGTTTGGCCACCACTGCTATAAAGCATAGTAAACAAAAATTGCTTACCGATGGACACATTTTGCACGTGTATTTTCTTCCTCCACCGTTTTGATGTGTGACTACGTGATGTGCGTCTGTGATCTTGGTTGCATTAATTGGATGAGGTACAATTAACATGGGTGTCGCTGAGTTTCCAGTGGGTGAAACGCTGCTCGCAGTACTCGCCGTACTGTGAGACCTAGGTGTTCCTCCTCCGTGATGCTGGTACATACCAGAACCATCTTCCATACCTCCTGTAAATCGTATAACATTGACTTTGGTTACGTGTTCCTAATAATGTTTTAGAATATAAAGTTAATGTGCATTATTTTTTTTTTTTTTTACTATTACCGAGCAATCATGAGCCGCGAATAAAAATTTAGTTTGCTGATACGAGAGAAAAACGTAAAATGAGTTGTCAACACTTTTTTTGAACAAAGATAATTTTAGATAAGTATCGAAACCGGTTTTCCAGTTCTCAATCAAATCTTACTGGTTATGATTTATTCGTTTTCAATTAGTCATAACAGTTTTAATTTAAAATAAACATAGGAAAATAAAAAGAAGCAAATTCGGTATTTTTGCGATATCTTTGGGATTTTTGGAATTTCGGATCTACATCTAACGTGATGTTAAAAGATATATTTAACAATGGAAATACATTTGGTATAGAATAGTAAAATATTTCATTTTAGTCGCATGATGTTGTTAAACGAATTGAATAATTTATAGTAAATGAATCGTTTGTTAGAATAATAATAAAAAAAAAAAGTAAAGTCAGGAACTTGTATTTTAGCAACTAAAATGAACATTTTGCAGTAGATATTTGATAAATTAGACAGATTTCTTGTGACCGTATTATCCATATGGGTAAAAATGTATGGAAAATTCGGCGTTTCAAAGTGAATCGGCGTCTTATTATTATTCTTTGAAAACAAGTCCGTTTTAAATTTAAAACCTGTTCCGAAATAGTAATGTACACAAAATATTGAATTTAGAATGATAATGTATTTGTTACACAATAGGTTAGGTTATTAATAAAACAGTAAAAGTGTTTCATAACCGTATTTTGGTTACTGCACAGAGTTAAACAGAAATTATTATCTCCTGAATTTTGTTTTGTTTTATTTTATTATATTTAATTTAATTTTTTTTTTTTTTTTTATGACATTTGTATTATGCACACACAATATACACACTAATTTAACTCATTTAAAACAGTTTCAATACGTTGCAATTAAATTATTATTATTAATTTTTTTATTTTATAAATAAAATACATATAGACTAACGTTCGATTAATAATGTTAAGTAGAGTTGTTAAGTAAAACTGGTTTTTTTTTTAAACTAAGTAAATAATTAACGAACATCTTATCATAAAAAAAAACAAGTTTTACCCATGTAAATCCGATCAAGTTTGTATGACCATACGAATTTTTAAGTGTTTATTAGCATAATTTTCACTATCAGATCAAGGGATACATAAACTTTCACCTCAATATCCTTTTAAGGTTTAAATTTTTAAGAAAAATCAACAGAACTGTGTATTGTGTGTCAAGAATTTCGTGTTATTTGCATGTTTTTTTTTGAAATAAACATATAAAATGGTTGTCAATGAAATAAAATATATTTCATAGAATTACATATGCTTACAATACGACTTATAATTCTCAAACGTTATGACATTCTGTAACATATCGTAATCAAATCCAAGTGGACAGAAACTTTTTTTTTAAACAGGCTCATGAAAATTATCAGTATAATATAGAATTACTACTACTATCTAATATATAAAATAAGTGTATATATATTTACATACACTCAAATATTGGCCGAATAACTGCTAGTCAGTCAGTTCAAAGACAAAGCGGACATGAGTATACGAAAAAGTGATAAAATGAGCATTGGGGAGGATGTAATGAGCCGTAGCGCAGTCAGACAGCTCGGAAAGGAATTCAAGGTAAGCATCGGTAGACGGTTTTACCTTGTCAACTCGGACACGTACTTCGCCACCATCATTATGACTATCGAATACGATTACGACCCCGCGTGTCGTATCAATAGTTACAAACATCGATAACTCGTGAAAAAATATTTTTAATTATTCGTGTAGCATATTCCGTGCCCACAGCTACCGAAACTTATAAGAAAATTAATAATTTTATTTAATTATTTGACAATTAGGTTGTTATATTAGGAAAATAAATATAGTATACGTTACAGGGGAATGCTCTGTTGCGCAGATTTCGATGAAAACATTCCTTTACAATTTGACGACAGTATATTATTAAAAAAACTAACGAGCCCATATATTAGCTATCTAAGTATCTCTACGGTGTATACGTAGACAAACACTTACTAGTCAATATATTTTTCATTGTGTACGCGAAAATATGACATAATAAAACGATTAATTGAAGGGTACTAATGATTTATTTGGGCATTGTCAAATGATGTATCGACTATTAATCTAGTAAAGATGTACGTACCTTTTGAAAGATGTTGGTTGTGATCGTTGTTGTTATTCATTTTAGCCTAAAACATAGAACAATATGATTATTAATTATGCATTTAAATAAGCTTTACGAATGAACGTACACAAAAAAATCGTACTTTGATGGTATTGTAATTTATTTTTCATTGCTATATTTATTTATGTTCTAATATTACGTAAAAATGTTCTTTTTTTTTATTCAGTGCACTTTTTTTTTGGTTGTTATAAATATAGTATTTTATATATAAAAGGTTCGTTCCGTTAAATGTTAATAAATAAATAAGTCTTGACAATGTTATTCGAATGAACGATGTAATGAGAAGGGACTTAGGGATGTTTAAAAAACTTTACATAGTTTCTCGTTGAAAATATCGAGAAAAATGTCATTGTGTTGTTATAAAATACATACGATTTGAAGATAACATTTAAAATGTAATTAGTAACATTTTACACTGTTTTCTAAACGATTATGACATATAGGATGTATAGAACATTGATATAAATTTTCTACTCGATGTTTTTAATTATTATTCCGGGTACTCCGGTGCCTAAAATGAATATTATTATGAATGTATAAAAGAGGAAGCTAGAAACCAGTTTAATTTATTTGTTTAAAACAGAATACCTAAACCACAAACATTTTACATGTAACTCGGCAGTACGAGTGTAAATAATAACGAGGTTTAAAAGTATTATTATTCGCAGTTTTTTTTTTTTTTTACCTCATAGCCTTGTTTCATGGCTGTCTGCCTAGTCCAGCTATAGTCCACTTCTTTGCCGTGACCACCGCATTGCTAAATAAATAAATAAAAACAACCAATTAGAACAAGATACGGCGATCAGTATAAATTTGGACTCACCAGAGCACACTCGTGTGCGTCAAGAATGAATAATTTCAACACACTTAAAAAATTAATGTTCTACAATAAGACTACGTAGTTATGGGTCAACGAGGGTAGAGATTTTTACATTTACTTTGGGCTACATCAATATTACGAATTATTATTTATTTTATTATTGATTAATCCGTTATTATTTATTTGTATAATTTTTAATTTTTTTTTTTATAATGATAGATGCTTTTTGTTAAATTGATTGATACTGCAACAATATGTCGAGGGGAACTGCTACAGATGTTGCACCCTATCGATATTGATCGCCTAACACGTCTCCGCATCTACTATAAATAATATCAATATAATGAGCGTAATTCGATTATTATATAACAGTTTTATGCTATTTTAACTTTTTTTACCGATAGTTTTGTAGTACATTGTCACGTATTTTGGTTAATATACTCATCTCCCTTTGAGATCTGTTAGTATTGGAAAAATGAGTATCGCAATAAAGATAACTGTTCAAAAACTATTATCACTGACACAAAATGCTTAGGCTATAATTTTCAAAAAAAATTAACTTTTTTAAAATATTTTAGAAATATTATACATTTATATAGTTAAAACAGATTTCTAAAGAGTTGTGAAATTTCGCGAAAATCAGTAAGTTCATTGAAAATTACGATTTATCTTTAAAACACATTTGAGGTATACGTCGGTATTCGTCAATACGTTCAGTTGATTATATAAAAAAAACACCGTTATTTGTTTCACAATCGGTGAATTCATCTGAATGTAAACATGTTTTATTATGTTTTCCTTTTCGGGATTTTTATTGTTTGGCAAAACTTTTCAGACGCACTGTTACCCCGCCCTACCCCTGACCCCCGCAGCTGTCGCAGCGAACGACTGTCTCGTATACCCGAATTCTCCGTCGATTTATTATCTGGTTCTGTTCGGACGACTATAACACTCCGAGTGTCCCGATATAACGGTCATCTACCCGCAGACGGTTTAAGAAACAATCGAATTCGATTATACCGTCTTTCGAACGCATACCACATTTAGCGAAATATCGTGAACAATCAACATCGTCACATGTATTATATGCGCGGTACGCGCACGTCGTTTTACTCACGTTTTACGTAATTTACAAACCGAACGAATTATTTACACATTATTTATATGGAACACAGTAATTAATATAATAATAATATGTAATGTATCCGTTTTGTATTTCATCATGCTTAGAATTAATCTGGCCGAGCGTACCGGTCCGTAAGTCGTATTTGTGTGTGTGTGTGTGTGTGTGTGTAATTTTCAACATTTTCCAAAGTGTTCGTCCAACAGAAATTAAGATAATCCTCAAGTGTAGTTGTACTCGAATTCGTTCTCTGTTTTGTTTTCACAAATTTAATAGTTAATACGAATGCACTGCAACAAATATAGTTGTATTATATTATTACGACCATGTACCATATTAATCCCATTCTCGAATAATAATTCCGTTTGAAAACGTAGGTACTTCGTACATGTTGTTATGGGTGTATGTATGTATAAATATATATATGGTTTTAAGCTAACGCGGTCGTGGGATTAACTACCTATTAGCATAGTAGGAAATATCGTAGGTTTTGGTAACTTGATTTTGATCCGCGTTGCTTCCTGTATAGTTCGATCTCGTCATCTTTGTACAGTCATGAATCAAAATGCAATTAAAAAAGATGCATTATAAATTATTTATGTTAGATAAAAATTAAAACGATTCGCGAACGTATAAAAAGCGATTCTCTTATCGAAGATATATTTCTTATGTGATTTTCGCCATCTACTATAATGCATATATTATATTTAATGTATGTACCATAGAATATAGAGTATATTTTATTGTTTATTACGAAGTAGTGTGTTTAGGAAAAACGGAGTGCAGCGATGTTACGTGCGATCTACCAGTTTTACACAATCACCGAAAAGAAAAATGGAATAAAACTAACCTTTAGCGGTCTCGGTCTTTGTTATTTTCTTTTGTGTCGTAAAGAGAATCATAAATTATTATCTCCTAAGACAAACGAAAGGAACGCCATTATTCGGTAGAAATAGATGCATCACAAAAATAACACATAATCTCGTATAAATTTGAGTTATTACGAAATAAATATATAAACGTAAAACATATATTGTATACATAATATCAAATAAAAAACAACAGTAAATTATCCCGTACCGTAGTATTACAATAGAACACGAAGGAAGATAGAATATATGCTGATAAAAGTTCAAGTAAACTCGCTTGAACGAGAACATATCGCCTGCTAAAACGTTCGATTAAATATCGAAGAATTAGTCCTACTACCCGGTAAACCAGATTAAAAAATAAAATAAAATCATTACTAATGTAATCTTTACTATATTAAATCATAAAATAATCGTGCAAGAAATGTTCAGGAATTAAAGATTAATTCCAGTACGATATTGTTTTTTAGATCTCAAAAATCGCACTTAAATTATTTTATTATACGTACTCCTATACAGATTTTAACAGTCATATGCTTAATAGGGTGTTGACCAGTTGCCCCAACGGCTGTTATCGGGATTTTTAAAATATACCAGTTGCCCTCGACCAAATGTACCAGTTGCCCCCAACTGAATGTACCAGTTGCCCTCACATGTTAATATATACACGATTACAATATATAGCCTGTAAAATAGGGGAGGTAAATATACAAATAATAAATAAAATTATTTATAAAAATAATGTTAAATAGTATAAAATGATAAAATCAAATTTTGATATTTGCAATTATATATGATATTGTATTTTGTAATAAATAATAAATATAATATATTATATAAATAGCATGGATAAAATGAAAATTATAACGATAGAAATAAAAAATTCATAATAAATCGTAGTACACATCAAATAATATGAAAAAGTTAATAAAATAATAATTAAAATTAAAAAGTATAATTATTTAAAACTAACAAACCATTGCCCTTTTCACTATACACTCGCGTAATATTTTCCATCGTGTTAACAACGTCAGTGCTTTTCGTCTACTAAAATATACCTATCAAAGACATATATATAGGTATACATCGTATCATATAATAATGTTTAACAAAAAAAAAAAAAAACTACTAATAAAGATAGGTTTAGTAAATGATAATAACTAGTGTATTCCGATAAAGCGTAATATAATTGTCGTTAATATTGTTATAAATCGGCTATCCATTTAGACGCGTCTAAATTTACGATTTTGTAAAATCCTGGCTTTGCACCTAGTAGTAGGTTATTATTCAATTATTACAATTTTCATTTTATCCATACTATTTGTATAATATATTGTATTTATTATTTATTACAAAATACAATATCAAATATAATTGCAAATATCAAAATTTGATTTTATCATTTTATACTATTTTACATTATTTTTATAAATAATTTTATTTATTATTTGTATATTTACCTCCCCTATTTTACAGGTTATATATTGTAATCGTGTATATAATAACATGTGAGGGCAACTGGTACATTTGATTGAGGACAACTGGTACATTTTGCTCTAGGTAATTTGGGGGGAATTGGTATAAAAAAATGTACTTTTGGGGGCAACTGGTACATGCCCGCTTAATAATGACCGTACCAAATATCGTTAACAACCTGTCGTAGTAAAACAATTGAGTTAACGATCACCCACAGAAGTCGTCTTCTTCGCAGTTGCACTACTGTGTTAAACATGCTTATTTTTTCGACGCACATATTTGTGTAGGTTTTGGTTTTATCAATCGGGCGGGCGGGAGAAGAAAACATTTGTCGGTAAGCTGCGCGTGTACAGGAAATTCAGAATTTCTTCCGTTAAACCACCGCCGCTCGACGACGGACTGAGACGACAAACACGGTGTAAAAACGTTAAGGTTATTTCGATACCACCCGCCCAAATACTTATAGGGGGCTGCTGGCCACCCTTTCCTGCTCACCGAAATTATATCAAGAAAAAAATAAAATAAAATGCGTAATGAACCGTAACTACGTGATTTGAATAAAAATCTTACCGAGACGTATATATATATATATATATACGAATCACTACGGCGGAGATTAATGTTTTTCGTCAGTTGTAAAATGAAAAATATGATAAATGATAGGAGGCACACAAGGTGTTCGATCTCAGTATACCTTGACAAATCCGCGTTGTTCCGGATCGCGTCAGAATGTTAAATAGATCTTGGGAATGAAAATAATAATATATAAACCAGATATCTGGTGCAGTAAAAGGGTGTGAGATGTGTACGCTAATACGTGTATAGTATAAGCAGACAATAGCTACCTGCATTTCAATGCGCGCAACGCTAAATACGGTCATGACTATTCGACGAATAAAACCTACACCACACCTGATTTCTGGATTATTTTCATGTGTACTTTAAAATCATCATCATATCTGTTGCGGATAAAAATCCAGGTAGCTATTAGATGGCACGGAAACAAATAGTGGTTTAGATAATTTATAAAATTATATTAAATTTTTATCAAAAAATGAATAATATATATGTACACAAATCTAAAACAAATACATAATATGTGTAGTTGTTATTGAAATTCAAGTCGATTTAATGTTCGAACATGGTTATAAATACAGTTTATTGCAAATCACATTGGATTTTAACGTAGTCACTAAATGGGCTCTTTAATCGATAGTGTTTATAATTTATTGAAAACTAAATTATGATTTAACGACCGTTGATAACCAAATCAAAAGTTGTGCTCGCACTGTAAATAATTGTACTACTTGAAGTATTTACAAAAACATTTATTGTGAATATTATATGATTTCATTTAAAATTCAAAAACCAGACTTCGAATATTGTAGAGTGGACTGCACAATGTATGTAGTACATAAATATGTTAAACTATTCTACAAAGCAAATTCATATAGTGTAATCGTGTACTA